GGTATTGATGGAAGCGATTTACTGGATTTATGCTTTGATAATCGTACTGAATATTATCCAGATGTAGTTTTTGATAAAAATGTGATTTTCTCACCTTTTTGCTCAAAATAATGAATTTTTTAATGAAACCTACCTATATTCAAGGGTTGATACAAAAATAATGCTTTAAGCTAGAATAAAACAGATTTTTTTGTTTAAAAGTAGAGGCTCTGTGTCAGGGTCTGACATTTCCCATCCTCCCAGACTCCGTTACCTTCACTCCACTCACCTGTTCTCTCATTACCTTATTATTGATTAATTTGTCCCAGCTGTTTACCTGATTGCCTCTCCCTTATAAGCTCCCTGTGTTTTCTGTTCTGGGCTTGTTTGTCTCACTTAGGTGTTGGATCATGCCTTTGATTTGTGGCTGCCCTGTGCTCAGTTCTCGTGGTGAGCTTTTATGTTACTCTGGCTTTTTCCCCTTCGGGGTGGTTTCAGTTGTGTTTATTGTTTATTTTTGTGAGTCGTGCTCAGTTTATGTCTCGTGGTGAGCTTTTATGTTACTCTGGCTTTTTCCCCTTCGGGGTGGTTTCAGTTGTGTTTATTGTTTATTGCACTTGAGTCTTCACCTCTTTCGAACCGTGACACTCTGATCTTTATTTTGGTGTATTGCATATTCAAATATGCATACAGCAAAATATACTGGAGGCCATTAAATTTTTGTGAAAATCATGAAAATCGCTGGCGGTGGCTGGCAACTGTTTTCAAAAATGCTGGCGGGGAAAGAGTTAATTATGTCCTTCTTTTCATGTACAGGTTGGGCAAGAAGTAACAGTTGTTACTTCTTGTTACTTCCAGTTTGTTTTTCTTTTACATTTGCACAACGTCTTACTATCAGCCATGACTATTCTAGCCTGTTAATTAAAAGGCTGCTTATATGGATATCTGCTAACTGTTTACAAGATGCAGACATATAAGAGGCTGACAATTAGCTGAACACATCTGGCCTCTTCCAGATGGTAAGCTGAAGCTGTAGCACCCCTAGTTACCTCTACTGCTAGAGACTCTAGCCAACAGATTTTGCTTTCACACGAAGCATTTTCCATAGCGTCAACACCATGACGCAGCATCTTGTTCCCTTCTCAGGAAACATTTTTTAAAAAGTAATATGAGCTTTTATGTGTCATTTTTATTTATGTAAAATATCTGTAAATGTCTATAAAAGGCTATACATAATATATGCATTCTATGTTATTTAGAGTTACATGGCCTTAGCTCTAATTTCCATACAATCGCTCACATTGAGCTGCAGTGCAAAACATGTCTGATCATCACTATTCCAACAGCCACAATCTCCGGCGTCTGCTCTCGGCAGTAAATAAACTGCTTTGATGAGAATTGTTCATGCTGACAGCTCCATTGTCTATAAATCAAATAAACTTTCCCCAACATCTGGACAGACATGCAAATTCCTGTTATCTATATTCTGTATGGCATACCATGAGCACAATAACTTCTCATGGCATAATCGATCTTACTTTCTAGAAAATATAGAGCTTGTTTACCTTGTTCGATGACAAGCCTAATACAACCCAAATCAAAGCCAGTGAATCTAACTTTCTGGATGGTTGGATTTATTTTGTGTCATGTTTAACAATCTAAGATGTGTTTTTAGTAGTGCAGGAATCTCCTGAAGTTGTTTTAATGTGAGACAGTGTCTTTAAAGTAAAAACAGTGAGGTGATTAATGAATTCGACAAATAATTGACAGACTTTTATTTTTGTTTTATTATTCAGACTTAAAGGCTGGCTCTAGATAAAGACAAGGGTGAATAACCTTTTTGTCATAATAATGAACTGAGGTTTAAGTCTCACACACACACACACATTTTTTTTTGCCAACATGGGTTTTTTTTTCATTACTAAAATGTGCTTATTTTTCCATCTGAGAAATATTACCCAAATTCACCCTTTTGTTTCATCAAACTGATTTGTGTTTTCTTTCTTTTTGCCTTCAGTGTCCTCTACACTGATTTGCCAAAGAACTGTACAGACAAACAGCACTGTAGAAATTGTGCTTACAAGACCCAGAGGAGGATTCATTTTGAAATACTTTCAGTGTTTTTTAAAGCACTGAATGACTTTGCACCTTCATTCTGATTGTGTTTTAAAACAGGATTATTATCATTAACTAAGCTAAATGTTTGATACTTGAAATACAATAAATGTTAGTAAATAAATAAACAAAGAAACAGCTGCCAAGGAAACATTTTAGTTTAAGTTTAGTTTGATCTACGAAAAAAAAATAAAAATAACTTGGGCTAAATAAAAAAATTAAAACTATATAGTCAGTCTAATAAAAACACTACAACATTACAAAAACTTTAAAAAGAAAATAATAATAATAATATAAACAATAATTAATAATAAAAAAACTATTTAAAAAAAACTATTATAGTATCTCAATGATATTAAAATAACATTGAGGTTTTCTAATGGAATTTTGTCATGTAAACCAATCAGTTGCTTTTAATGATTATGCCCACCAAATGTGGAACTTTCTACCAATTAAAAAATAAACCTAATTAGCTAAAAAAAAAGCTAATAAACCCCTGGGACATAATGTGACTGTCCTTTAAGAAACACCCATTGTATTTATTATATTATATTAAACCCAAAGGTTTGAACTTGATAAATTTTCTAAGAACATTTACCTTTCATACAGCAGTTGGAGAAAAGTATTTATGACCTTGTTGTGGCTTTGAAGCTCATTTGTTCTGAGTGTGTAACATCTGACTCTTTAATCTTTTGCTCCACCTGCACTGCGATAGCTTGCCAAGACAAACGGCCACAGATCCCCCAACACATCCTGTGACAGGACGTTAGTAAGACAAAGAGGGCAGGGTATCTCCTCTGTCCTCTCCTCTGAGAAAAGGCATGCTAAAATCGATTGTATATATTATAGTGACATTCATTCATGCATTGAGTCTCCATTCATTCATTAGGAAATTAAAATCATGGCACAGGCTTTTTGTTTAAGCTATGACCTGAATATGTAAAATATCACATTAATGGATGTCCATATGTGTCACGCCCCTGGACTTTATCTGTGTGTTTTTCCCTCTCCATGTGCCTGCCCTCACCTAGTTTTCCCATATGTTTGATTGCTCATTAGTTCCAGCTGTGTCTCGTTATCCCCTCGTCACGTCCTGTGTATTTATAGTGAATCCTGTTCTGAGTTTCTTTGTCTGGTATTGAATGTTCGTCTTTCCCCGCTACATGTGTGTTCCTGGTTCCATTGATGTTGATTAAAGTCTGTTTGTTGGAAGTCTACTCCACGTCTCCTCGTTCCTTGCTCCTCACAGTAGCGCATCGTGACAGAATACCAGACTGAAAACAGTAACCTCCGTGTCTTCCCTCCGTTTTTGTTTCTGTTTTTACCCAGTGTTTTTTGTTTCCGTTGTGCCTATGGATCCCCTCGCCCGCCCTGAATACCTCCTCCTCCTGCTGGAGCAGGGGGGGAAATTGCTCGAGGGCCACACCAGACTGTTCCTGGTCCTCACCAACCTCTCCAGCTACCTGGACGATGTGCTCTGTGCGTTCTATGACGCCAGTCTAAACCCGGCATACAGAGCGCTGTCATCCGAGGAAGGCCCACAAGCGAATTTCGGCGCCTTTGTGGAGTGGACACTGGTGAGACACGGATCCTCGTTCACCGCTTGTCCCGAGGGTCTCGGCAGAGCCACTCCGGACCCAGTGCCCAGCCCACCATCTCCCTGCTGTGCGGAGCGCATGCCCTAGCCCACCGCTGACGGAGAGCCCGAGCTCACCGTGGCCGACAAGCCGTTGCGGAGCTACAAGTGACATCAGCCAAGGTGCGAGAGCCGGCAACCGAGCCCGCCACGAGGGAGAATGCGGAGTGGAGCTCCACCCACTGCACTGCGGCTGAGGGTGAGCTGATTATACTCCTCTCTCCTTTGTCCCCGCTGGCCCCGTCCAGCCCTGAGTGGGCTCCCATTTCCCAGTCCTCATCTGGCAGCCCCTCTGCTCGCCCTCAGCCCACCATCAGCACGTTGCGAGCTCCGCGGGACTGCAATCCTCGAGCGTCGCCGTGGCTGGAGTATCCCTTGACTCCACCTCCAGCCTCTAAGCCCCGGACTCCGCCTCGGCCCGT